AATTAGGAAAATTCTATTAAGAAGGTGTACAGAACTTTCTTTCTTTAAAATTTAATTTTATTTTATTATTATTTTGTGGGTGTGTACCACCAAATCTAATCTGACTGGTACAGGAGGAGATTGCTCCCCTTTCTCCAGGAGAGCATCTGGTGGATTAGAACTTTCTAAAGAATACTACTCCATATTCTCAGGAAAATAATGTGTTTTTATGGTAACATTTGAGTTACTCTGAAATGCAAGTTTCTTTACTAGGTTCTGACACCTTAAAGGAAGATGTAACACCAAGCATTTTCAAAATTCCACACACTAAAAACATCAAGAGCTCCCTCTATTGGACTCCACTGACATTTCTTGTACTCTTTATTCCAGAGATAGTATGTTTAACAAAGTTGATATTTACTATACATTTAAGCATTCTTTGGGCATTCCTTATATAACTTACAAAATAGAAAAAAGTAATATATGCCCCAATTTCAATATATACAAATCTATTTATCACCTTCTTATTACTCGAATAAAGACAAAATTATTTTATTACAGCTGATGAAAATTAGTAAGTGTGGTACATTCTTTAAAATATTAAGTACTTTCACAGACTCTAGTGATCTGAATATGAAACATACAGGTGAGAAAAACTGTAGTTGAATCCATTAGATAGACATGATTTAATTACCTGAGAAGTTTCTGTTTTTGTTTGGTTGTTAGTGACTTTAAAAATTCAACTTCTGGATCTTCTTCACCTTCACTTGCAACATATTCCTGAGTTAACAAAGACATCATTAAATGGTTTGATTTTAAGATAAGTAATCTATCAGATAGCAGAGAAAATATTTATACATAAGAAGTTTTCCTATTAGGGAAATATTGTAGATAAATATGATATTTTGTACTAAATAGTGGGATGGAATTAAAATGCTTTTAAGAGTCTACTTGTCTGAGAGGATTTATAATGCACTGAAATGTTGAGATGAAAGCTTTGCCAGCATTAGAAAGAGAATGACAGAGAGATAAGAGACCAAACATTGATAGCATGGGTTCCATCCTCTGTGGTTACTGTGTGACGTTGAATCATGTTTAACACGTTTAACACTTGCATGTTAATACAAAAAAAGACTTGTAGTTTAGTGAAATATTAGTGAAACACTAAGATCATGATTTTTTTTTTTAAGATCATGATTCTTATAGGATACTTTTAACTTTTAAAGTTTCACCAGCACCTTAACAAATACATGATAATACAGGTTATATGAAAAATCCCTAACAAGATTAAGAATTCTAATGCTTTTTTCAGAGTAGCATAAATTTAAGCCAGTGAGAGTCTGCGCTTTGTTCTCAGTTCTAAGTATCATATGACCTTAGGAAAATCATTTATTTCCCTGGGCTCAGCTTGCCCATTAAAGAAATGGTTTGTAGTGAAATATATAGTTTTTCAAACTCAACCACTTTCTAAGTCTATGTATAGTTGAACAAATTAAAATGGTTTAAAATATTTTCTATAAGTTTCAGGAGTTTGTTTTTATATACTTCTTTCCATTAGTTCTATTCAATGTCACCTCATGGGTAAGTTAGGAAGGAAAAAAAACAACCCAACACAACACAAAAAAAACACCCAACTCTACCACTAGTTTGGTTAGATATTTTATCCACATAAACCCAGAGAAGCAGCTTCACTTATTAAAATATAGGTTTAGAAAACAATTTATCATTTAGTTGAAAATAATGAAGCAAAATCAAAATATACTTTTAGGCATTTTCTTTGCTCTATTTTGCCTTCCTATGGATATGCATATTGGAAAACATTAAGTAGCAATTCACAAGCAATCACATTTAGATTTATAGACATTTTCAGCTTACTGATAAAAAGATCATTACCTGTGATGGATCATTTGCGGTCAAGTTTCTCCCCAGCACATTTCGTTTCAGTGCAAACCCACTGTTTCTCATCTCCGCTATTAGCTCCGAGGGGTGCATCGATGGCCCTGTTCACAAAAATCACAGTTTGAATGTATCATTTCTATCTCTCTACCTTTTTCGGACTCCACAGTAGGAATGCAGTTGAAGCTTTGTTAAGTAAAATCACAGCTAAATCAACTCAATAATCTTCTGCTGAGCAAATAATCAGATATGATTTTCTAAAACAGCAGTGTGGAGATTCAGAATAGAAAATAATTGCATTTTTCTTTGCGTGCAAGGGGATTCTCTTCTTATGTAACTTGGCCATATTGAAAAAGATCTATTTAGATATTGTCTGGTTGGCAGTTTTTAGTATAAAATCAAAGCAAAATGCTAACAAAAACGACAATTGAACTTTCAACAGTTATTCTCTCAGAGGTAAATTTAAAAGCACTTTAAAAAGATCCAAGTAATTCATGATTATCCTAGTTTCCAATTAAAAGTTCATCTTTATTGATCAAATACCAGTATGGAACATACTGCCATTAGGTGGCTATTAATCAACAATATACTCAGACAAAATTCCATCTGTAACTCAAGGGCTTTAGTTAAACACACACACACACACACACACACACACACACACACACACACACACACACACACAAGCAGAAAGGAGTTTTTATTTATTTGGGATTGGTGACAAGGAATTTTAGGCTGGTTATGTATGTATGAGTGTTTGAATCTATAGTATTCAATCCACAGAAGAAACATGTAACTTAATAGTATGTTTCTCTAAAGATTTACAACCTCGGAAAGTCTATGGACAGCCCTACTCTGTCCTAAGGCTCTCAACAAGTTGAGATTAACTCAATGACAATGGGTTTAGTTGGAGTTTATAGTTGTACGTCTTACAGATTTTTTTATAAATTGACGTTTCCACTTTGGTAAAATCCTAAATTATAAAGTGGGGGGAGGTGCGTTTGATTACATAACATAGACTAAAGACAGTGAGAGATTAAAAACAAAAATTTTAAAAAAGATTTGCTCTTTCCTTCAAATATGAAAGTAGAGACCGTATCCTTTTTTACATATGGTACAGTTCTTTTTGGTTTTCTTGTAAGAAGCAAGCTAATGGCAATATTTCAGGGCAGTAGTTTCTGGGCTTAATTATCTCTACTGGCTTCAGAGTCATATTGAGGGGAGAAACTACAATATTAAGAAGAATAAGAGCATGGAAGAAATCCCTAAGGGAGTTCTAGTGGCCTAGTGGGTAAGGAGTTGTGCCGCCAACTTGAAGCAGAGACCAGTTGGTCCTCTGGAGAAAGATGGGTAATCTCTTCTCATGCAATTTATAGCCTCTGGACACCTCCTAGAGGGTCAGCTGAGTTGGTTCTGACTCACAGGGAGGGTGTGGGTCAGGAAAACAATCAGAACTGATACTCTAGTTTGTAGCTGAAAAACTTTATCTTTTTTTTCCCCTCACTGCTTTCTGGTCTTATACCACCGAATACTTGTTCATCTGCATGTTGTCATGGAAAGCAAAAGGCAACAGAATCCAAATCTGTTTACTAGTTAATAGCTTTGGTAAAAAGTTCAGGTATAGGTTCCTTGGGCTTTACCATTCCATTAATATTATCACAATTAATTAAAGTTAGGGAAATGACAGAGTAAAACTTCCTATTATTGATCTATGGGAAATAATTAGTAATGGGATGCTTTAACTCACTGGGGAAGAAAGGCTTAGTTGACAACAAAACCAAAACACCAAAAAGTAGCACTTTAATTTGTTGTTGTTGTTATGTGCCATCGAGTCGTTT